GTGAGGCCCGGGCCAGCCCCTGCCGGGTCCTGTAAGGATCCAGGGATGACACACTGGTCAGTGGGGTCACGGGTTAGGTTCCACCTCCTGGACAACCAGAGAAACGGCCCAGCTTCCAGAAACCAATGCAGCCCCAGTCACGGAGGGCCCCACCCACATGTCCAGTCTGAACACCACCGGCAGCCACCAGGGGCACCAGACACCTGCGGTCTGGGGCTGGGGCCCAAGGGATGGGACGTGGGGTGAACACGACCCGTCCCGGGAGGTTGGGGGGTGCTCTGGGGATGGACAGACCCCAGAGGTCAGGGACCCCATTCTCGGGGAGAAGTGGGTTAGGCAGCGGGGTGAGGACAGGCCCCGGGCTCTCCGGGTGCCTCCCCCTCCAGGTCACCGGCCCCTCCCACCAGGGGACCGCTGGGGCCCTCCCTGCTCCCACGCCCAGGCCGCGCCCCGGGGAAGCGCCTCACGTTGCACATCTCGCGGACGATGGCCTTCTCCTTCTCGCTCAGGCCTTCCTCACAGCCGTCCTGGAGCCGCCGGTCCAGGTTCTCGTGCACTTCCAGGACCTGCGGGAACAGGCCCCGGGGCCGGAGGTGAGGCCAGGGTCCCGAGGTTGGGGCAGGAAGAGACCGGAGGGGCGGGTCCTCATCCTCACTTTTTGGTCCTCTTCCCTCCCCCTAGTGGCTCTGCAGAAGCCACACCCCCACATCAAGAGAGGCGGGGCAAGCTGGGGACGCCTCACCTGGAAGCAGGGAGGACAGGCTGGGCGGGACTACCCGCGGGCAGGTGGCCTCGTGCTAGGCCAGGGCCCCCAGCTCGTGATTAGAGGGACAGGGGCAGCACCTGCTCACACACGGGGTGAGTGGGCGTGTCCAGTCACTGCTGCGTGCGCTGTATCCGCGCAGACGCAGACCGGCCCCCAAACCCGGGGGACGGCGCGCCTGTGTCCGTGCACGCGTGGGGCGTCCACGGGTGCGCGCACAGGTGGGATGTGAGGTCCGGGTGAGCGAGCTCCCCCAGAAGCAGTGAGAGCCTCAGCGGGACCTACCCCTGAGCAGAGAGGCAGGTGTGCCTGGAGGCGAGGCTGGGCCTTGGGGTGCTGGGGCTTTAGTGCTACCGCAGCCCTGCCCCCGACTCTCAGGCTTTGGGGGAGCGCCGGCTCTTCCCCTACCGCACCCGGGCCTCAGTTTCCCCAGCTGCAGGGATGGCAGACAGGTGACACGCTTGCTCCAGCCAACTGACACCTCCATTTCCAAGGTGTTTGTGGTCACCCCGACCCCCCCAACCCCTGCACAAGGACGAAAGCCCCCACCCTGCTGCTCAGATGCCCATGGGCTCAGAGCACATGTGACGTCCAAGGTCCCAGGTCCTGCGCTGCACCAGGGATCTGGGGGCTCCTGAGGGGGCAGGAACTGGGTGAGGGTGGGCAGGGCCTGGCCCTCACCTTCATCGCGTGCACGACAGCCTCTGGCTTCTGTCCCGCGGAGCTGTAGCCGGCGGAGGGGGGCGAGGACAGCTCGGGGACCGGGCAGGCTGGGCCCTGTGGGAGGGAATCACGCTGTCGCAGCTTGCCCAGAAGGGCTCCCAGCTGGTGGCCACGAGTGCGGCCGGCAGCAGACAGAAGTCCCTGCTTCTGTGGGCCAGGGCCCAGGCAGGAGGAAACGGGGCCCGGCTGATGAGGGAGAGGAGGCAGGGAGGACAGAGGGGCAGCACCTGGCCCCCACCCCGTCCCGCGGGCTCCTCCTCACAGCCCGTGGGGAAGGCCTGCTGTTTCCCGGAGGAAGTGAGTCCAGCTCAGAGATGGCAGGGACTGGCAAGGAGCAAACCGCGGGGGGCTGCCTCCAAAGCTGCCACCCTCCCCGCCGACACCAGGTGAGTGGGCTAAACCAGGCTTCACCCCATCCCCCACCCCCAGGGACACTCTTCCAGCCCTGCCCGGCCACCGCATGCCACCGCAGTCGGCCGACACCTGAAACGGCAACCAGGTGCCCAACTCGGCACAGCCTGGGGTGCGGGGGCTGAGGCTGGGCAAGGAGGGGGGTCCAGCCCCCAGATGTCGGGCCCACCGATGTCAGAGGCTGCAGGTGCGCCCGGCATCCCCAGCTTCTTCTCCACAGGGATTACTGGTATGGGCAGGGTGCAGGGCCCGGCCTGCAGGGAGGCCCCATAGGAGGAGGGCCCCCAGACAAGGAGGACTCAGGATGGAGCTCTCCAGGCCAAGAGACACCAGAAGACACTGGGAGTGAGCCTAACGGGCTCAGCAAACACCAACAGCCAGATAGAAAACACCAAGGGTCCCAGGCGGGGAGGCCAGGGAGCTGGGGTTCCCGGCACAGCTGTCCCTTCTCTGGGTCCTGGTTTCTTTCCCAGTCACCGACCCCAGTGACCAGGCAGGCTTGGTGAGCAGGCTCATGGGGCCATCACCCTGGGATCCTGCCCAGCGAGGCAACGCTGTGCAGAGACTCTCGGGGCCCAGAACTTTCTGCTGTGGGCCAGCCCCTCTGTACTCTCCCCATCTGCCCACCCCACCTGGACCTTCTCCTGGCTCCACCCAGAGGCCGGGTCCCGTAACCTTGGGGCCAGAAAAGCAGACTTGGGCAAAGCTCTCCTGGCTGTGACCTGAGGCAGGGCCCAACCCACTCTGTGCCTCGGTTTCCTAATCTGGACAATGGAAGGGTCCCTGTGTCCCAGAGTGTGTGCAGAGCCCTGGGGTGCCGTCTAGTGGCCCAGGCTGCCTGGTCTCTGGGGCCCAGGCCAGATCTGTCGTGTGGAGAGATCAAAAACGGATCCAAGGGCTCTGGGGAGGCAGGTGGAAGGCAGAACACAAGCATGTGCCCGGCAGGCTGCGCTCCCCACATCGGCCAGCAGGGGGCAGTAGCCACACACATTCAGCCCTTAAGAGGCACAGGGACCTCTGGCCTCCAGTCCTATCTGTACCTGGGGCTCCCTGAACAGCCGGCTCTATAGGCAGGGCAGGGGACGATTGCTGCTCCAGGGGGCTGCTTCCTGGAGCAAAGGCAGGAAGGGAGCCAGGAGTGGCCAGGGCAGGCCGTGCAATCCAGCCTTTCCCTGACCGACCTCACCAGGCTGCCAATGAGCGTGCCACTGCGGGTCCTGGGAAGGAAGCTGAGCTGGACGTGTAGCACGTGTTAAGGAGTAAATGCCACCGGGACTGGTACTCCCGGGGCTCTCCCCACACACAGCTCTCCCAGCGCTGGGAGGGCCGGCACCCACCTGAGCCGCCCAGCACACCGAGTGCTTGCAACCCTCAGATGTTATCTTTCTACATCCCCATTTTACAGATGGGGAGAGTGGGTCTGAGAGAAGGCCAAGACCAAACAGCCAGCCCCAGTGGGGCTCGAACTGGGTCTGTAGCTCCAGAGCTGGCGCCGGAGGCGGGGAGGCCAGCGTGTACCCGGGAGAACTGAAGCCACACGTCCACACACACACACACACTTGTCTGGAATGTTCAGGGCAGCACTATTCACAGCAGGCAAAGCACGGGAACAGCCCCAGATGCCCAGCAGCTGATGGTCGCATCAGCAAAACGTGACACATCCACGCCCCGGAGTCTCACTCGACAGTGAAAAGGAGCAAGGTGCTGACAGGCTGCGACAAAGCCTCCATCGCGGGGCGCTACGCGGAAGCAGCCAGTCACAGAGGATCGCACGCTACAAGTTTCCGTTGCGAGGAAATGTCCAGAATAGGGAAATCTACGGAGACACAAGCACATCCGTGGTCTCCAGGGGCTGAGGCAGGGGAGAGTGGGGAAGGTTGCTACAGGGCACAGAGTTTCCTCGTGGGGTAATGAGATGGGGTGATGATTACACAAATCTGCAAATATGCACAAAACAAAACAGGGAAACTGCATGCTCAAAAATAAAGTCGACCAAAAAAAAAAAAAGGCAGGGGGACCAGTCTCCCCCAGGGACCTGTCAAAAGACTTGATCCTGCTCTCGGCTGGAGAATGCCAGAAAGCCACTGCCAGCTCCTTCCATGGGGCCCTGAGTCCCAGGTGTGGCTGGGCCCCCGGGCACCCTGCCCCATGGCCACCTGGGCCAGTGACCCTCGTGGGGAGCAGCTGGGGAGCCCTGCACAGACCTGCAGCCTCTGACTCACGTGGACAGGGAGAGGGGAATATGGATAGGGACAGAGGTGGGGCGGGGGGGGACAGCCAGCCTGGCAAGGAAAGGGTGTCCCCACCCTACAGGGTCACCTGTTTCACCTCGGGGCCCTCTGGCATGTGGGCGACCTTCCCTCACCACCCCCCCCCTCCCTGGACCTACAGGCACCTTACAGAAGACGGGCCAGCTGTGGCAGAGCCTGTGTCCCCAGCGTCATCGGGCACAGAGGGCCCACCCCATACAAGCCCTCACTCGCCCCGTGGACCCACGTGCCAGACACAGGCCATCCACTGCTGCCTCCGCAGCCTTTGTGGCTGAGCCTCCCCTAAAACACCCTACCTTCTCTGTGCACCTCGGAGACCTGCCCCCGGCCTTGAAGGAGGTTCACCCTGGCCCTGGCCTCTAGGCCCACGTGGGCTCGGTGCCAGCACGCAGGATGCATTGCCCTTCCCGGTCCCCAGATCGCCACGGCTCCAGCACACAGCGCTCCACAGCCACGGGATGAACACAGGTGGGGTGCTGGTGGGGGGCCGGGGGGCGACGGAGTGAAGGAGCAAGGAGCCAGCCCCCACTGGGGCACCCTGGGCTTCTCAGCGCCCTTCTGCACAAAGCACTTGGGAGCCCAACCCGGCCACAGCCTCCTGGATGAATATTTGGATTATCTGCCTGGTCGGCCTCAGCAGCTACATTCCTGGAGGTGTGAGGGCCTCGAAAGAAAACACAGCACCTGGATGGCAGCCAGCAGCGCCCCCAGCCTGCTTCTGCCGGCACCGAGGCCCAGCGAGGCCTGGCAGGGGCACCCCGGGGTCACCCTTGCTGGCCGGGGTCATGGGGAGAGAACAGCGGCCACCTGGAAGAGTGACCTCAGGCCAGCCGGGCTCCTCGCCCGTTCCCTGCGGATGGCCAGGGTCCCCGCCCGGCTGCACAGAGCACTGAAGCCGCTCCAGTCACGGTCACCCGCCCAGCTCGTGCGGCAAGGGGTCCGCGGGCAGCGTTTTTGGGCATGTTCACAGATTTACGCAATCATCCCAATAGAACACTTCCTCACCCCGAAAAGAAACCCCATACTCATCAGCAATCCCCATGGCCCTCTTCCCAGCCCTGGCCAACCAGTGAGCTCTG